CTCCAAGGATTTGTTAGCCATTTTCTAAGATTTATAACATAATCAAACTTGTGGGAGCTTTCTATCAGTCTAATTTGAAATTAACCTCACAGCCAATGTAGCTCTGGGGGCTTTGGGGTAGTGGTTTTTCTTGAAAGGGTTTTCCTAATATAGTGAGCTGGGTGTTATTCCACCATAGTTTGAGGGGAGAGTAATATGAGGCCTCACTGCTCATTCTGATGCTAGAGTCTATCTCTGGTAGGACAAAAATGTTCCTTCCTCAAAACAGAAAATCTCAGGCACACTTCCATATGTCTTCCTCCATTGTCCTCCCTCATCTACTTGGCTCGAACAGGTTATGAGAGGACTCAGTACTATCTATGCTTTCATGCAGGGTTGCACTGAAGCTGTTCTTTAAAATGTGTTCATTTTTTAACTAAAAAAATGAATGAATCTAAATATCCAATTCATAGGTAATAATTTGCTAAATAAGAAAATGCCTATATGAAAAAGTATTGAAACTACAAAGAATTACAAATCCCAATAACATAATTTATGTGAAAAAAACTAGTTTAAAACTGAACTAAACTTACCTTGACCTGGAGGAAATATTTTCCATTTACTAAGTGAAACTAAATCACAAATGGACAAAGTAGGCCAGTTTTCATAAAAAGGACACCTGCGGATTAATTTCAACTTTCGCATAATTTCACGTTTTACTTTTGCCTGAAAAAGAATGCCATTATCAGATTTCAAAACTAAATAATTTTAAAATGAACAAAACTAACAAATAGAAAAATGGCAGAAAAGGAAAAGTAACAGGATAAGATTCAGGATAAGATAAATTTGAATAGTATTTGACTATCACTATGGCCAATATCTATAGTGAAATTTTCAGATTTTTCCAACATTCTCACTTTGTTCCATACTGCTTTAAATGTCTATAAATATTAACTTATACTAAAGCTGTTATAGATAACTCAAAACTCTGTGTGTGTGTGTGTGTGTGTGTGTGTGTGTGTGTGTGTGTGTGTGTGTGTAATTGATTCTGATGAGGGAAAACAAGAAATCAAGGAAATTTCTTTAATCAAACCATTCTGAAATTCACACATATTGATATTTAGTAAGAGAAGAAACTGTGAATTCTGAGAAAGTTGTCTGTTTATGAGTTCTCCACATCAAAAGAAATCTCTTATTCTTTCACATCCTAAGCAAGAAGAAGGAGATATCATCTCCTCTTAGCATGAGTGATC